TGCCACTTTGCTCAAATTTTGTTTGCAAACATAGTTACCAGGAGCATTTGCAGATTACTTCATCCTCTCCATCTGGTCCACATCCAGTTCTCGGTCGCATATCACATGGGCTCCTTACACAAAGACTGCTTTTCTTTAGGTGCTAGGGAGGTGGGGGAGAGGAGGTGCTCGTGCAAGCCCCAATGCCAGTACAGCCCCTTGTTAACCTCAACTCTCCTGGAGTCCGGGCAGCTCCTTCCAGCCTGCTCCCCTCTTCTCCTGAGATGACTCCAGCTACTCATGCACTGAATTAATAACGGGCACCACGTAAGCATCCGAGCCAAATCATTTTATGGCATATAGCAAAGTCTATTCCTTCCACAAGTCCATGTCCTACTAAAAAAAAGGATACAAATCTGCATACTTTTCCCAGTCAACAACAGATAAATCTTATGGTCATAAACAGGGAATTTCACAGTGCCAGGCAAAATTTGCTCAACTGCCAAAACCAACACTGCATCACTGCTTGAGCGGCAATTAAACTAGAACAATACAGATATCCGAAGCCTTCCTTTAATCATTTTCCCAACCCTATGTTAATTAGCTAGGCTGCAGTGACTACAGAAATGATGATTCTGTACAAGAATAACAAGTAAAATAATAATAAAAATTCAGTAAATTATACATCACTTTCCTATGAAAATATTTTAAAATATTATTCCAGGGTGAACCTAGGTATTAATCTTCAGGGATTAAATGCTGACTTCCTAATTTCCAGGACACTGACCCAGATGGCTAGCTGGTACACAGGGAGCCCTAGACAGACAGGATCCTCTTGGCCAAAAAACCTCAGTTCTGTCCTTCCCTCCGTGCCTGCTCTTTTTATGAACAGTGCCGAAACAGACCTGGAAATTACATCATTGTAACTCAATGATGTAACATTGTACATCATTGACCTACAGCTTCCTGCTCCTTCGCCCAAAATTGCCAAGAAAGACCAAATTTGGGGTAAAAATACCACTGGCCACACACAACTGTTCCTTGCGACCTGCATGCAGATTGCCATGGGCTTTCCCTGGTGATTGCTTTCTGTTGCTGGAAACATGGCTGCCTTTACAGGAAGGCTCTACCTTTTTTTGGTTTTTGGGCTTTTTTTTTAAGGTAAGCTGGAAGCTTTCTATGAGAGCTGAATTCAGTTTCTTGATAAAATTTGACTCCTGTTTTATCATCAGCTCTAAAGAGGTGATATTCACATCTGGGAAGGTGCAATAATGTACTTAGAGATGAGTATTCAGGGACAAGAACATGATGAAAGGGTCAGTACTGGGAAATATTTGCTATAAGTTATCCTTTTTGCTTTGTTTCTTTTTTTTTAGAAATAATTAAATTATGAATACTGCATACTGAGCATCTTTTTGGATGTCAAGCTGTTACTGGCTGCTATTTAACCTACAAAAGCACCAAACGCATATATCTGACATCTTTACACACTGCTAGATCTGTCTTATTATTTGACACCCAAGAACTTGAAGCAGTCAGAAGAAGTGGACGCTCATGGCTATTTGGCTACGGGAGATCCAAGGAATTTGAGGCAAGTCTTCAAGGTCCAGGCAAGACTTTTTCTGCCTCATCTGCGTAGTAGAGCTATTCTGAATGAAGTGGATTTCAGTTTTAAGCCATTAAGTATTTCTGGTTAGACATTCTTACTCCAGAAGAGTGGATTAAAATAAGAAAAAGAGTGTCCAAACTGGAGTGTCAAGCTACTGCTTTCTTATTTCTAAAAGTCTTATGCCATAACAGTTTTATTTCTAGTAGACACAAGCACTACGATTTTCAGAAAGGTAAGATGTCTAGGTTCCAAGTTAACCACTCTGTGAAAATAATGCATTTAGTATAACATTTCCAAGTGATAGTAACTAATATTTGGACAGTAATCTAAGAAAACTAATGAACAAATTTTGAGCCTCCAGCAGAAACACAAGGTTACAGGCAAGAAGTTGTTATGGGAACGTAAGCCCTCTCACCATTGGCAACTTAAATACTACAGGAAGAAAACAAATGTCTTGTCCATTTCCATGTCCTGTTGTCAGATGCAAAGCATTTAATGCAAAAAAAAAAGTAAAAAAAGATTTTAATGTTGAGGAAAAAGTCATATCACTGTGCAAGTAAGTGTATATAACGGAGAGAGGAAGCCATCCATATTGGTCTGAGCTTAAACTCCAATAATCTTCTGAGCTGAAAAAAGAGTTCTGAATTATTTCAGCGTGATAAGATGTAGTTTATTCAGTGAAGGGAGTATTCTAATACAGCAGACCCGGTTCAGTTTTGAAAATAACTGAAGATCAAAACAACCCCCACCCATTGCCTTTTGCATCCTCAGCAGCAGCAGGAGGAGTTCAGGTTTTGTTGCAATAGGTTTAGCCGGCAGCATCCAGAGGTTCAGGCCACCGATGGAATTGCTGGGTTTGATGGCAGGGCTCTTACTGGAACAGAGTATTTTGCTGCTGTGATAGCTGGGACTTTAAGATAAATAGCTCTTACTGTAAGAGTAACAAAACAGTCACAAGAACAAGCAGCATAGAAGTTCTTCTGCTCCGTAAATGTTAAGTAATAACAACACAAGAATATCCACATGCTTTAAATGTGTTAAGTGGCAGGAGGCCAAAGCTCAAGTCTTCAGTCATCTGGGAAGTGTAAGTGGCCTGTCTGATCCACACCACTTTTTAAACTGTTCGGTTTTCTGTAATAGCTGCAGGGGTTTGGAGCAGAGCATAGCAGAAGATCAAGTGGTTGAATTGTCTTGTTTAGACTTGCTACCACATAGTCCTTGGCCTTACAAGAGAACTCCTGCGTGCATGAGCCCAGCTGCAGTTACAGTATTCAGTTATGATTTTAAATACCACTTTCACCCTAATTTTTTTTACATTTAAGGTATTTTGCATATCTTGAGATGGACATTTTGGGATGAAGAACGTACTAAATTAGGTGGCATGTTATCTAAAGCCTTATAAAACGTATAAAATTTTTGTTGCAGTATTATTGGATGGTTGAAAGTTCTTGCCTAAAATCTGCCTAATAGTGTATGTGCTTTGATATTTCTCACTTTTTAGTGGGTAGTACAACCACATCCAAGCGCAGAGTACCAAAATGAGACACTTGACTTGAAGCATTGCTCACAACTCTTCGCTCCCCCCTTCTAAAATTATCTGCAAAGATGGCTACAAAGTTTAATAAATTCACCGGTATAAGCTAACTACATCTAAGAGTCAGGCTGAGTTCTCAGTGTAGGAATACATATTCTTTTCTTATCATTTATACTGTTTAGGTCCAATGATGACTGTTCTTTTGAGGGGCAAACAGTTTCTGCAGGAAGCTTGTTCCAGTATTTAATGCCACAGATAACTGAGGTCT